TCCTTGGGTTCCTTTAAATCAGAGCTAGATAAGATTTTAACAACTCTGAGCTATTAGTTAAGTTCTCCCCAAGTGAGCTTGATGGGCCGAATGGCCTCCTCTCGTTTGTATAGTTCTTATGTTCTTAAACACTAAAGACAACAGGGAGGACAGGATGGCCAGCGACACCTGCTGGCCAAACAGGGAGAAGACAGTGAGACAAGTTTCATAATTCATCACTCCCCAGGTACTTTCTTGGGAAGCAAGTTAGCAATACCACTCTTTCCAGATTCACAAGTATGATCTTTGCATTCTTGGTCTAGACTGGTGTAGGGACTAAAAGGGGTTCCTCCAAGGAATTACTATTGGGCCCAGTTCCTGTGGTGTGAATACGACAAAAGGTTCTGGTTCCTGAAAAAAAGTTCCTGTGGTGTGAAAGCACCCCAAAGGTAGGCGAGTACCTGGAAGTGCAGTACGTTTATTACTCTGATCCAATAATGGACATTTGCTAATCTGTTTATCACTAGCAGTAACAGCTGGAAAAAATACTGTACCTAATATTAATTCAGATTTTTTTTCTCCCTTTTGTATTAACAGACTATCTGTTTCTAACCTTACCTGAGAAATTATCCAAGGAAGCTTCCTCACAGCTGCTCAGCATGGAAATTCACTACATCAACAACTCTGTTATACTTATAAATAAATGGTTCAATGCCTCAGGTCGGGAAGTGACCATATTTAAGCAGTGCGAACACATGCCTGCCATCATCCTTTTTTATTTGGGCTTGCAGTTTGTTAACATGTTCTTGGGAATCCCAGCCAACTTGATGGTTTTGTGGCTTCTGCACAAAAACAAAGCGGACTCCTCGACCTCAGACATCTTTATTTGGCACCTGGCTGTTCTGGACACCCTCTTCTGCCTCATCCTGCCGCTGGAATTGGCCAACATCATGTACCTGACGAGCAGCAGCCCCTGGTACGTGCTACGCTTCTTCTACGGCATCAAAGACTCATCCCCATTCTTCCTCTCCTGCATCTGCTTGGACCGCTACATGGCGGTGGTGCATCCCATTACCTTTGCGGCGCTGAAGGACCGCCAGCACCGGTCAGTGTGCGCCGCGGTTGTGTGGGTCCTCACACTGGCTTACGCGGCAGCCAAGTGTGTGGGAACCATCGTAAAATTCGAGAAGGCTTTCACTGTCATGATCCTGGCCACCTTCGCCGTCATGCTGTTCTGCAACCTCTCCATACTCTTCACCCTCCGGCACTCTGGACCGGTTCGAGACGTGATGCACCCAGTCAAGAAGAAAGCCTTCAAGATGGTCCTCATCATCCTGACCATCATCATTTTCAACTATTTGCCTCCTGTGGCGCTCTTTCCATTTCAGGAGTACTTCTCTCACGATGTCTTCCACTGTTACATCCACTACATTGCCTTTGGACTCATGGATATCAGCAGCACCATCCAGCCCATGCTGTACCTGTCAAAGGAGAAGCTGTCTTGCTCACCCAGGTGCTGCTGTAAAAGGTGCTTTGACCAGGAGATGCATGAAGTCTCAACATAAAACAGCAAAGGTTTTTGGTTTATGTCTAGATTAAGTTTTTTCCGTAAGTACTGTTTTTTTATGTTACAAACCTCAAAGTTATTATGTAGCTACAAACAACCTCCCAGATTTGCATCTTTATTATGTTAGATGCGTAAATTATCCTTGTCATCCTCGCACAAAGTGCAGATGGCTTCAATACTTGAGGTAAAAGAAAAACTGTACATTTGACAGGTTCATTTTGGAATTCCGGGTCTCTGTGTTCTTCATAAACAAACAGCTTTCATTACTTGTCAACTATTTTAAGAACAGGTAACATTAAATAAATTATACTTTGAATGTTTTTCTGATGCACTTGCTGGTCCTTGAATAGTCTTATTAGGTCTTTACTTTGTTAATACAGTGGTACCTCAGTTCTCAAACTCATTAGAACTCGAATTTCTTAAAAGTCGAACCAACCAGTTCGAAAAAAAAATGACCTAGAGCTCGATCTGATGCCTTGTCCACACGTACATGGGTATTTTTTAAAATGGTGTTTTTCCTCCTCCGTTTTAAAAAAAATCGTCGTCCACACGAACATTGTTTTCTAAAATATTTCCATCCACATGAAACCGCTAAAATGTGCTGTCAAGAGCATGCCAAACCAACAGGCGGCATTATAACTCTAACCATGCATACTGCTGTGTTAGCCAATCAGATGCCTAATTGCCAGTCCTGTTAAGCTGAAAACCATGGCGCACATTCCGACGCCTGTGTTGATCAATATAATGCGAGAGTGACTCAACATTTATCTGTACACATGTAAGAAGTCCTGTCAGCAAGGTTAGCACAAGCACTATTTTGGCTAAGTCCGCCATTGCTCAAACTCGCCTAATGTATACAGCAAAAAGCGCATGCTCTGACGTTAAACAAAGTGGACAACGCCGCACAATCTGACGATTCGAGCCAAAAACTCTGTTTTCCCTGTCTACATGTCGACGCTGAAAACTGAGTTTCTTAAAATCTTCACCCTGGGTGGAGTTTTGCAAAAGCTCCGTTTTCAGTGACCTAAAATGCCGTTTACATTTAGACAATGATAGAGAATAACAGTAATTATTATTATATAATAAAATACATTTAAAAATAAAGATTTGTTATTCATTATTTTAATATTAATAATAAACCATTAATACATTTAATTATAATAATATCGTTGTGCCGAGCGGGGAGGGAACAGAGACAAAGGCGCCGACGTCAGGGTATCGGGGTTTAATTACAGGTAA